AAAAAAGTGAATTTTTATATTACTCATATAGAAAACCCAATGCAGTCAACCATTCACTAGGAATCAAAATTTTTATGAATCAATAGCAATCTTATTTATTCACCCATTGGTTTAATTTTTAAAATAATAATTTTTTTCATTTTAAGAGTTAAGATATGCAGAATTGAATATTCTGAACTTTTGTAATATGTAAGGAAGTTACATAAATATAAATCTCAAGAGATATCATAAGTACTGTTTCTTAATTAGACTAACAATAAATCACATGCATTTCAAATTACAAGACTGCCAATATGATTTTTACAATTGTAGATGGTAATAAAATTTGAGATTTTTCAAATGCATATATATGAATTTTTTTTAATTAACTCAAAAGACATTTAATGCATGAAGTTAAAATAAATAAAACCTAAAAGACATTCAATGCATACATTTGAATTCCTAATCAAAGCAAATTGAATGAAAAATTTATATTTCTCATTTATATCTTTCAAAATTAAAATTATGTGCAAGTTCAAAACCGAATTCAAATTTAGTTGATACAAATTACCTGTTGATGATTATTCTCAGTCCGGCAAAAAATAACTATTCATTGGCAAAAAATGTTTATTTGAATATATTTATGATACAGTACTGTTCGGCTTATAAATAATAATAAAAAAGCAGTTTATTATAAGAGAAGAAATTTTATGAGAAAAAACAATCTATATGGGTGGGAAACACTAGTTAATGAAATAAATATCTAATTATATATTAATTAATATAATATATAAGTATAAAAATCCATGTGTACTAAGTAGTATCTGCATGTTGGTATTGGTTACTGTCAAACATATGCCAAAAACACAGCAGTTCTGCCAAATGATAAGATAAAGGGACCAAAAGTTGACCATGCACTAGTAGTTAACTATTTCAGAGCAAAAGCTTCAAAATAAGGGATGGCGTTGGTTGGCGTTCTTGCAAACCTGCTTATAAGACGTTACTGCCATCTAGTATCACATTTTATCAACTCCCAGTTGATATGCCTATCAGTTAAGTAATGGCTGACAGTGAAACTTGTGCTCTCCCAGATCCTGCTAATTCTTGCCGCCTGATTACCATTTTCGGTTAGGGATTGACTTCGGTTTTTGTGTAAGTACAGTTATTTATTTTTATTGTTCAATTTTCGGCAATGAAATATTTACTAAGTGCATGTATTATTGAACAAAATGACCCATGAGTTATGTGGTTTACTCGTCCCTTTATCTATTTTTTGTTGTGGTCAACTACTGGAGAAGAAACGTTTTTTTTCTAAATTATTTATAATAATTTTATATTACAACTTTTTTCGGTAAAAAAAGATCATAACTAGCTAGGTAGGCAGTTGAAGTATTCCGTTAACTACGAAAAAATTAATTACTGTTTCCACAGCTAATACTGTTGACAAGTGAATTTCCCTTAGCTGGTCAACTACTGGTGCCTTTACCTTAATTAAAAAATACTCTAATTTCTCATAATATATCATTTTATCTATGGATTAAATATTGAAAAATTTTTTACCCATTTAGGGAAGGGAACATGAAAAACAAGTGGAAGGAAAGATTTCTTCTATTACATATTTATTACATGAAATAGTTATGAAATTTTATATGAATCTATATTATAAGATTAAATTGATAACTATAAAACTCATTTTAATTTAAGCTTTATATAATTTTTTAAAAATTATAATGATGTAAATGCAAATAAAGTAAGGCAAAAGATGGGGGAAGAAAAAGTAAAATATTAGGAATAAAAATAATAAGAAAATTGCAAAGTTAATAAATTACTATTATTGGATAATATAAGTTGCACTCTAAAGTAAAATATTAACCTTTTAACTGTCATGCCCGAGATTATCTCGGGCACAGCACTAGTGTTCGAAAATGTCACGCCCGAGTATTACTCAGGGTAACTTTTTTTTTTTTTTTTTTTTTTTTTGAGTGCATCGTATTGTTATACCTGAATATATATCGGGAGACGTTTATTTCGGCTTCATCTCTTTGTCAAACCCGACTGTATCTCAGGAAAAGTTAATGTGCGCTCAGTTCAATAGATGACAGCACTTTACTGAAGATTTCAAAGGTTAGAGGTTATTTGGTTCAAGGTGCATGGGATCTTTTTGTTGTAAAATAGCGTCCAGTTCTTTGAAACGTTATATAGATGATTTAGATTCTTCAACCGAAGATGAAGGATGTGTGTTTGATGAGCAGTATTCATGATACTTCCATGGTCAGCCTCAAAAATAAAAAATGGAGATATACTCAAGCCGAAGATTGTTTCTAATTATGGTCTAACTATGGGTGGTGTAGATCGCTGTGATCAGGAAATATCCTTTCGTCCAACAATCCGAAAACGTCAGATAAAATATTGTAAAAAGATACTTTTACATTTACTAGACAAGGTACACTGGAACTCATATTTGCTCTATAAAAATGTAGTTGAGAAACATATTACATTTTTAGAATGTCGAATCCAAGTTGTAGAAGGGCTTTTACATAAATATGGTGACGCAGCTTCTGGATAAAAGAATGTTGGCAGACCACCTACAATAGATAACCCTGCCCGTCTTACTGAACGACATTTTATATCCCATTTTCCTCCTATTCCTGCGAAACGTGAGCCTACAAGATAGTGCAAAGTGTGTTGTTCGAAAAAGGATAAAAATGGGGAAAAGATAAGGAAGGAATCACAATTCTGGTGTAGTGATTGTGGAGTTGGTTTGTGCTTGGAAAAGTGTTTCCAGTTGTACCACATAAGACTGAATTACTGAACTACTAATAGGTATTCACTTATATTTATTTATGTTTTAGAAAATAGTTAATTTTTTTCATTTTTTAGAAAATAATGCTCCACTAGAAGGGAACTTTGCAACTGCCATGTTGAGTGACAGCTGCCTCAAAGAAAATATGCAGTGGCTACAAAACTTTAAAAATTTTACCCATGTACGTCAAAATATCAATTTTTAACTACTTAAGTATATTTTATTTTGTACTAAACATTTGGTTTTTTGCAATAAAAATTTGACAATTTGTGTACCCAAATCATCAAAATAACTTGACAGTTAAAGGGTTAAAATCATAAACAAGGCAAAACTAGTACATACATACAAAGTGTAAAATATTAACTCATTATTATTTATGGGGAAGAAGGTGGTGTATTTAATTATGTCAAAGCACACTAGGGCATCTGCCTAAGGGGAGGGATGCCTTCGTGGAGGACTTTCTAAGGAAAACTGGCTCGTATACACGTTACACATGGGGAAAACCACGAAAATGCCCATGCAGCCAGCCCGTTCGCGGGATTCGAACCTTGGACCGAACTACCAGTGTTCAGCAACTTGACCGCTCGGCCGCTGGTTGGGCCCTATGGGAAAGAAGGAATGAATAACAAAATATTCAAGTTCTGTATTTACCTAATGGAACTGAAAAGTAATAAATAAAGTTTTCTTCATTTTTATTAGCTTTATAAAACTATATATAAGGTTAAAACATTTATTGCAAACAAAACAAAAGGAAGCAAAATAATGATTTAAGACATCATAAATACTTTTGGTCGTCCAAAATGCTATTCTTAATATGTTCTTAATATGCTGTTCTTTATGTAAATATTCTTGTCTAATTAAACAATGAAATGGTTATTCAAGCATATGTAATATGTATTCCATTTTTTCCATCTACAGCATTGATTTAAAAATTATAATCATTAAGGAAAGTTTGCATGTATGGCAGAAATTTCATAATGTAGTACTTGTATCATGCAGGCTGATGATCAGTAATCACATCACTGACATCATGCCCTGCCATACTATGTTACTTACTGCCAGAAGGTCATAGTAAATACTGAACATACAAATTATATGTTACTTCTCTTCTCTTTGATTATTTGCATATCTCTGGTACCTTTAACTGTTCTGCAATTATCCTTCAGCTATGTGTAGTTTTTTTATGGTTATGTGAACCACATGTTCCATTTTTTTTTTTTTTTTTTTTTTTTTTTTTTTTTTTGTGTGTGTGTGTGTGTGTGTGTTTGATGAACAGTATTTAATTACCAGAATGTCTTTAGTCTATGTTAGTAATGATAAAACTGCAATAAGAAATAAAAACATATTTATTCATCATCATATTCGTACATAGAGACTAAAATATAGTTATAAATGCTATATACATAGCTGACATAATCACAAGAAAAATTATATACGAAAGAAAATAACTCTGTGACTAGTTAAATCTGGTTCTCTCTCTTTTTTTTAAGGAAAATCATCATTATGACAACAATACCATAAAGTATTATTCCTGTTTATTAGCAGTCAGATGTAAAAAAAAATTTCTGATGATTTTGAATTACATCTTTAGCACACATGAATTTGCATTTTTTGCTGCTTTTAATTTATATGCATTTTGTACATTCTTTCATGTTAGCACTATAATTTAACAGATCATGTTGCATAAGATAAAAATATGAAAATTATTGCATCTGCAAAACTTGATTTTTCTAAAAATCAACCATTTGTCAAATCTTTAAACACTTTCTTTGTAAACGGCAGTTTTGCAGATTAATGATTCTGTTATGACAGTGAAAATATATTTAGAACTGTGACGATGAACTAATTCAGAAATGTATGTTAAACCTTTGGTATTTAAAAATTAATTTCTTTAATTGGTTGTAATATATTGCAGAAATAAATTATTCAAACTAAAAAATAATAATCAATTTATATTACAATACTTGTTTCACATTAGTTTAGGAATACATATTGGTATGTAAGGAATAATAAACACATACAAATCAACATAACTTTTGTATAAGATTATTAATATATTATTAAAATGTACATATATATGTATCTAAAATATTTTATAGGATATCATTCTTATTTTTCACCAGGTATAAAATTTTTAAATCAGGATAATAATCAGCAGATTTCTTTTAATCTGAAATTTAATGCAACATTTTAATTTTATATCATTTATATACCACATGATGTTTTTTTAAGATTAAGAAGATAAATAAAATATTTGCAATTGTAAATTGATACGATATATTTTTGAAATTTAAAAAATGATTGGATTTTACCAGAAAGAAGAAATTTTATATTAAAGATTGACTGAAATTTGATGATTAATACACATAAATACTTTCATGAATCAAAAGTATTAGAATAAATTCCTTCTCTTATCATAAGATGTAATATGTCATTTGCTATATATTCCAGGCCAGGATCCAACATTGCAACTACTTCCTTCATTTTATCTGAAATGTCATCATCTTCAGTACTTTCAAAAACTGACAGCATTTTTCTATATGCTAAAAATTTGAAATATTAATTAATTTTGTTATTAAATACTATGAAGTAAATTTAGACAGCATATAAACTGCTTTAAAATATTCTTTTAATAACTAATATTATTTAGAAAATAAAATCCAAAATTCATGCAATTCTTTCAATTTCATCTAATATTTTTAAGAGAAATCAGGCATTGAAGCTGGAATATTGCTTTTAATAACTAACATTGAGAATCTAGAACAGTGCATTTTAAATAATGTCTCAGAATGTATTTTAAGTTAGTTATTTATATCTCATTTGAAAATTTAATAAAACAAAATATACAGAAAATATTTGACTCACAAGAAACATTAAAAAAATAATTTCACATTTTAATAACATTTTAGATATATGTGATTCTTTTTTAACAATCTTCAGACTTTTATAGGCTTATCTGATTCTAGGAAGAAATTTTAATTTATTTTTATGCATTGCTTTAGGAAGCAGAATATAAAAATTTAACTTAAAAAATACAGCAAAATTTAAATTTTTCTTATTTCAAGCTCACTTATTAGTTAATTATGCCAAAGCACTTGTGATCTATCTGCCTAATAAATAGTGCTTTTATAGAATACTCTCTAAGGAACTAACTGATATTAAAAAAAATATGATAATCTTATTCTCTGATTGCATAACTGGAAATCTGCTATGAGCATGAATTCTATAGAGAAAACTACTGCAAAATGTTTTGAAACATAATTACAAGACCAAGAAATGCTTACCATGCAAAAATGGGAAATTATACAAATGAAATTATTCTAACATACTAAAATAGCATTCTTTTGCATTTGTCAAAAAGGAATTTAAAAATTGTAATATTTATTAGCTTATTTAAAGTGACAATCAAGATAGTCTCAAGATACTCAAAAATCACCAAACATGAAAGTTAAATTTTAAATACAGGAGTGTAAAATAATAGAAAATAAATAGATAAATGATTTTTGTACATTACTATTATTATAATTTTATTAGAAAAAATTTATTATTATGGATGGTGAATTCTGTGAGTATTTAAAAATATGAATATCTTGAAACTTAAAAGTTTTAATATTTCAATTCAAAATTTTGGGAAAATTAGTTTTACTAACGTCTAATTACCTTATCGGAACTGTTCTGTTTTGAAGATCGTAAAAAAAAAATTGCAGCGAAAATGTATGCGGAAAACGCCAAATCTAGCAAATGCGCCCATTTAACAGCGCGCCAAATCTAGCGCAACGAATATCTAATATCTCCTTAGAGATTTTTTGTCTAGCGTACGGGCTGATTTCAGATTGCGTAAGTTTATATAGCTTTATATTTCTTAAGACGCCATTGAAATACTAGTTTAATTTTTAAACCCTTTTTTTGATTTTAAATCCTTTTTTCATATCCTATGGATCAGCGCCGGATCTTTGATTTTTCTGATGTGGGGCAAAAGCTAAAACTGCCGCCGCCACCCTTCATCCTTTAAGTTTCTCTAAAAAGTTTTAATTTCTTTAATAAATACAGAAATAGGTAGGGTTTGAGGTAAAAACCGAAGCCCCGTTTCATATTAAATTCCTAACGTGCCCCCCCCCCTCTTTTTTTTGGCTATAAAAGAAAAAAAACGAAGTTACATAATTAGAAATTCATCCCCTCTCTAGGAGAGTTGCCTTTCTGGTGAGCTTACTTTTGGATTCAAGCCTAATCCTAACTCTAATCCTGAATGCTTCTAACCCTCCAGTCCTCGCCACCATTCGTTTTCCGTTCTAGGGACAACGGGCAACCCCTAAGCTTTTCACTATTCAGCATTATTGCATTACTGGTTAAATTAGGTTGGGTTAGATTATATGAATATGGCAAAGACAGGAGGGCTACCTGCTTAGAGGAGAGGTGCTTTCGTGGAGGAACTTTTTAAAGGAAACTGATTCGTATTCACATTACACATGAGGAATTCCACGAAGAGAAACCATGCACCCAGCCTGTTCTTTTGGGTTTGAACCCAGGCAAGGTCGAACTACTAGTATTCTGTGGTCTTAATCACTCGGCCACTGTTCAGGACATTTGTTTGATTATTTACTATGTGTTTCGCCATTAGAAACTGTATGGGAAGGGAGGAATGCCTTGTGGACAAAAATTTTAAGGAGACTGACTGTTATCTGCTTAGAGGAAAGGTGCTTTCGTGGAGGAACTTTTTAAAGGAAACTGGCTCGTATTCACGTTACACATGAGGAAATCCACGAAAACAAACCACGTAGCCAGCCCGTTCGCCTGGGTTTGAACCCAGGCAAGGTCGAACTACCAGTATACAGCTATCTTAATCACTCGGCCAGTGCTGAGGAAATTTGTCTGATTATTTACTATGTGTTTTGCCATTAGGCTCTGCATGGAAAAGGAGGAATATCCAGTGGAAAAAACTTTGTAAGGAAAACTGGCTTGTATCTATGTTACACACGGGGAAAATCACAGAAATACTCATACAGCCAGCCCATTCATCTATACTTGACCCTCAGAACTACTAGTGCTAAGCGGCTTTTATTGCTCAGCCACTAATGGAACCATTGCATACAAAATATCTGTTGCCGAAAGGAAGTATTCTGAAATGATTATACAGAATATGGGCTATTACTGAGAGTATTCGTGCTTCTTGTCTTGTTTTTCATACTTCCTATGTCATAAGTAATTTTAAGTTCTTACCTACAGCATGTAACAGATGTCCTACCTCATGCTTTGATTCCGCATCAAGAGAAATATCTTTAATTTCTTTTAAATATTTGAATATTTCCGGTAAATTCATTAGAAGGACTTTCAGTGCCACATATTTTTCCGACCATCTCGTCTGGCTGCTTCCTTTTAAGTTGTATTTTGTATATTTTTTAATAATATACTGTCGAGTGTGCATCCGACAAAAAAGCGAAGTATTTTCTGAGTAATTCCAAACAGATTAACTGCTTCCGGGCACGAAGAAGCAGAATGCATACTGTCAAAATACGAGGAGTGAGCCAAACATGGCAGAAATTCATCCAGCTTATTCATTTCTGTAATTCTAGCTTGTACTGTTTTAGAAATGCCAGCCATATTAGACCCGTTGTCATAAGACTGACACCGACATTGTCCAATATCTAAACCATCAAGTGTCAATTAAGACATTAATTTTCTAAAATGCGTTTAGAAATACATTCTCCTATCTTTCCACCAACTTCTATGAAATCAATTAAATTTTCCTTTATCTCACACAATCACCACACTCTTTTACGTATTGACTCACCTGGCGCATTTTTTTCTGCATGAAACACATATGGGGTAAATATGATTCCTTTCCCTTTGTTAGGTGCTTGTACTTAAGAGTTGAATTATGTTTGGCAAGTGGAGAGATTAAATTCAGAAAATTTCCTTCGCTACGTCGAGGACACTTTGTAAACAGGCTACTTGGGATTTCATCAGTCCCAAGAAAAGAACGATAGAATGTTGAAAGATATAGTACCGCATCCATGACTATATAGAATTTTTCTCCATTTTTCTTTCTCTGTATGAATGAGTCGCTTAGTGTCGTGATTGATGCCTTGGCACGATTTCATATGTTGCACTTGAATTTTCCACATAATCATGCACCTCTGTGGATGCCAGACGCTTCGCGCTCAGTTAAACTTGCTAAAACATTTTTCCAATTAATGAATCCTGTTGTATGGTGTAACGGCAGCACCACGTTTCTGATAAATCTTGCAGGGTGTAAAAAAAATTGCATTCTTATTTTTAGAATATGTAAACCAAGATCTAAGCTTTTTATTATTTACTAATGTTCTGTATAACATGTCAAATGTCTGCCATGACGTTCAATGGGATTGAGGTTTACGTTTTCCCGGATGTTTACCGGCTAATAATACTGATTGACTGCTTAAGAAAGATTGTTGGTGACCGTTAATTTTTTTTTTTATGACCAGCCAATTGCATGCGTCCAACAAATCAAAAATTTTTAGTTTTTCGTCTTTCTGCTGCCCGCTCCCATCTAAATGAACAGATCTTTATATCATGGTTTCATGTCCTCCAGCTATTCGTTTGATGTCGATGAAGAAGTTTATTCTTTCAAATGCTGACTTGTAGATTGTTTGGGGATGATATATGCAGTCATGTTTGGTCGTGCAAATTGCAAGAAATATTAATTCCCTCTAGAATCTCAGCACAATCGGAATTGCGGCAGGATCTGACGATTTACTTCTTCCGTGAAGTTATTTTTTCATCTTAGCTGAAATTTGTTTTCTCTATTTGGCCTTATCTTTGGCTCGTTTTCTGTATTCCTCTTTTCTCCCTCTTGACGCGCAGATGGTCCCTTTTAATCTAAATGAAATTCACTATGAATTGCCTTAATAAGAATAACTAAGAATTGACATAATTACACTGAACAGTCCTAAATAAATGGTGTGTCACTAAATATATATTGCGGGCTATTAAAAGCAAGCATATCTTTAAAAAAAAAAAAAAAAAAAAAAAAACCAGAAATAATAAATCTAGCTTTAAGATCCAACATGCGCTCCACCGTTCCGAGTCAAACCAAAGGTGAGCCTAAGTTGCCAACTGGCTGCAAAAAAAATCTAAATGCCTTGCTTCAGCTTGAAGACATAATATCTGTGTCTTGTATATACTCGATGAATATTAATTTGAATTATTCCATTTGTCCAGGATGGCCTAAAGTTAATTTTTTGGGTTAGCTCTTAAAAATAGTTACAATGCTTCTCCATTTCCCAGCAGACATTGCTATGGCAACCAGGTGACTTCTTCTATATATCGTTCTATTTATTATTTGAATACGCCCAGCCTAGACAGCAAATGATACAGGGACTCCAGATGTCACTGATAGGGTCAGTCTGATTCTATCAGTGACGCCTGGAGTCCCTCTATTGGCCTCTTTCTGATCTTGTACTTACAGTTGTTATCGGCTGCACTTTATTTTAACTCATGTTTCTTTAAAAGGGTTCTTAGTATTTAATTACAAATCTTCTTAAAAGAGGTTTTTAAACTTGGCCTT